AAACGGCGCACAGGAAATTAAGTTGTACCTCAACAGGTGGCTATATACAGTATCTCACAGAAGTGAGTACACCCCTCACATTTCTGTAAATATTTTATTATATCATTTCATGTGACGACACTGAAGAAATGATACTTTGTTACAATGTACAAAGTAGAGTGCACAACTTGTATATCTGGGGGGTGGTGTTAGTGAAATCCCAGGTTTACCTGGGTGATAAGGGGGGTGGTGTTAGTGAAATCCCAGGTTTACCTGGGTGATAAGGGGGGTGGTGTTAGTGAAATCCCAGGTTTACCTGGGTGATAAGGGGGGTGGTGTTAGTGAAATCCCAGGTTTACCTGGGTGATAAGGGGGGTCGTGTTAGTGAAATCCCAGGTTTACCTGGGTGATAAGGGGGGTGGTGTTAGTGAAATCCCAGGTTTACCCGGGTGATAAGGGGGGTGGTGTTAGTGAAATCTCAGGTGGACCCGGGTGATAAGGGGGGGGTGTGAGTGAAATCCCAGGTTGGCCCGGGTGATTTTAGTGAAATCCCAGGTTGACCCGGGTGATAGTGAAATCCCAGGTTGACCCGGGTGATATGGGAGGGGGTGTTAGTGAAATCTCAGGTGGACCCGGGAAATAAAGGGGGCGTGTTAGTGAAATCCCAGGTTTACGTGGGTGATAAGTGAGGGGGGGGGGGTTAGTGAAATCCCTTGGTAAAGACTTTGATCCATTTTTAAATATAGGCACCACATTGGCCTTGTGCCAATCCATTGGTACCAAGCTGGTCATTAGAGAGGCTCTAACAATTAGATACAGTGGCTTAGAAATAATACAGCTCAATTCTTCGAGGACACATGGGTGTAAGCCATCCCATCCAGGTTATTTCTTCACCTTCATTTTGTCTGTTTCTGTACCATATCAATGGTGAGCCATTGTGGTTCATTTCAGGCTTAACATATTTTGCTATATTCTTTCTAACTTTCAATCGACAACAGTGTTCTTTTATGTTGTTATTTTTATATATTTTTTAAAATCGGATGTGAGCCACATGGGATTTAATTTTAGTCTTTTATATGCATTGCTTACAGGAATATAGTTTACAGGGCATTTGTGAGCAATTGATTTGAAACAATACCATTTCTGTTCTGTTTTTTGATGACAAGATTCCCTCGCGGTCTAAGTTTGAGCTCTTGAACTTGTGTTAAAAAATCATATTATGGTGACTTACCCAGATGTTCTTTTATATGAACATTTGTAATAAGCTCTGCATGTTTTTCTTTTTCTATCACTGCATTTGTACCCACTGCAGCTAATGAATGCAAGATGATTGCATATCAGCATGCAGAGCTGTATGCTGGTGTGATTTTTAGTCAAAGGTCCATTTTAACTGCTTGTTCTGTCTAGGGAGCTAAAATAAAGATATATTCACCCAATCCTCGGCCCCTGCAGCCTCTCCTCCCCCAGGCTCCAGCTGTCTAAAGTCCTTTGAGTTGTCAGGTTTAATACAGTGTATAAAAGGTGCCCACACACTTTGCGATAATCGTACGATAATTGCGGGAAAACCCGCGATCGTACGATTATCGTAAGGTGTGTGGAAGCCGTGCGACCTCTACTACTGTAAGGTCGCACAACGTTTATCTTAGGAACATGTTCGAAAACCCGCCGAGCATTGTACGATGTTCGGGGGGTGTGTAGCATGTTCGTAAGATAAAAGCCGGACGGGCCGGTGTGCGCAAGCGCACACTACCCATTCAGCATTTTTTTCTTTGTAATGTTCCTGGTTTTTTTTTTTGTTGTTTTTTTTTTTTTTTTACACACATTCAATAAAAATGATCTGCTTAAAAAGAAAGAAAGAAAGAAACATCAGATGTCTATTGGGCTCCTAATAACATCCCTGCACTCTCCCTAAGTAGACTAAACGACACTAAGCACACATTCAGCAAGCGCACACTACCCATTCAGCATTGCGGTCATCGGAAGCCCGCCCCTCAGGGTTGGCGCGGCTTGCGACAATCGCAAGTACGATCTGCCTGTCCAAGATAGGCAGATCGTACATTTGTTTAAATTACCTTACAACCATCGCAAGACAAAAGTCTTGCGATGGTTGTAAGGTGTGTGCCCAGCCTTAGACGTAAAGCTGGCAAGGGACATAGGACAGCCAGAGCGGAGAGGAAGAGAGGCTGCAGGGATCGGCCTAATAGCCAGGCAGTACCTAGCATCAGTTGAGCATATCTTCATTATTTTAGTTCCCTAGCAAAACAAGCAGTAAACCATTGCTGGGTGGGGATAGCTGCATTGGTAGAGTTAACAGGTGAGTATGTACTGCTGTGAAGGAAGGTAAAGAAAACCCGTGGCACTGGTTAAAGCATGTTCAATTTAAAGAGAAATCACAGCCACCACAATGGATTCCGATCGTATAAGTTGGCTGACAGACCAGTTTATTTTAAAACTGAAGAATTTAACATTGCAAATGAGCTTTATTGCCAAGCACCAAACTTTAGATGGGGTTAGAGCCCTGATTAGTTTATTGTTGTCCGTTTCTCCTTTTGGACAATTTCCACCCACTTGATCTATTTGTTGGATGTCAGACAGAACAGGAAGTGGGGGGGGGGGAATCTCCACACTCTCCTGTCATCCCTCAGGCAGCTTGGGAGGGGAAGCAGCGTGATCCAGTCACGTTCTGTATATTGTGGTGTAAATTGTACACGCAGAGGTTACCAGGTGGAGTGGGAGGAGTGAGGCTCTCATCAGTGTGCTGCTGCTCCTTTATTGTCCAATCCCAAGTTGAGGTGGGTACTAGATCAGCCTGTACTGCTCAATCTAGTTGGCAGGTAAGTCTCTGGCCGATCTTATCATTCGGACAGCGCAGCCTGTCCTAATTCCCCAAACAGAACAGCAAATGCTTTGTCAGGTAAAACAATTCTTATAAAAAGGTATGAAGTTGTTGCCCTGAGCTCTATCTTCAAAACTTCTACAAAATCCTAGTTCCTGTGTATCGTTTAAAATTCTAGAAGTACAAGGGGGCAGCCACATTTGTTCAGTGCAAAAAGACCATACAGATTATTCTACAGTACTTAACACTGCTCTGTTAGAGATTTGTTCTTATACCTAAAAAGAGAAAGTCATTAAGATATCATATAAAACATTTATTTTATAAAAAGGATAGAAGAAAACAAAAAAGGTAAAAACGGCTAGGATGTGGAATTAGAAATTTCATTAAAGGACTTCTTAATAAGTTTATGCATGCCTCTGTAGGTTGGATTTTTTTTCCTCAAGGTAAGTTCTTTTAATACAGCTTTAGGGTTCTTCAGCTTTTTCACTTTTTCCTGGAATGAAAAGACATTTTGTTAGGTGGGGAGTGACCGATATACCATCTAGAGGCCAATATCCATTCTCCTGGGGTTTTAAATCCTGTGACAGTCATGTCTGTCATTTGGAGTCTTGACATGCCTAATAGGACTTTCAGTTCCATCACAGCTGGAGGTCCAGAGTTTGCCCATATATCTATGGCTTCAACTGGGATCAGATGCTCATATCTTGTAGACCATAAAAGGGTACGTTCACTTTCCCACAAAATGGGAGAAAATTAACTTACTGACACCACCTCCAGCTTCTCACTTCCAGGACCTGGTCATAGGTCTTAGAAGCGCTTCTCATTGGTCAGCGTGGTCATGTGACTTTTTGCCATTTCTGGGCAGTATGCTCATTACATACTGCGGGGCAGTATGAACAACTTGTTCAATAAAATGAGCATTTGGTGATTCCAAAAAGGATCTTCGGTGTGCTGGTGACATCTTTCACATTTAGCTTATGCATACAGCGGTGCCATCCGCAGTCATTACGAGCATCCTTCCCATTACATGGGATCTCCGGTAAGGAATGCGATAATAACCTTTCTACTTTTCCTGGAGAAGGAGGTTGTGACATAACGTTATGACGCACGCTTCACCTACAATGAGGAGGAAACATGACCGAGACCTGCATCTCCTGAAGGAGTTAATGACAGTGCCTGGTTGCATACACAGAATAGGAATAGGGCACATTGGGAATATTATGAGCAAAAGGCAGGGAGTTTACCATGGGGAAGGCAAGTGTCTTTATGAGAAGATTTTTATAATTATGGTTGGAGTTGGGTTTTAAAACCAAGAACAAAATATACTGCAGCTTACAAGTCCTTAGATTGGTGGCTGCATTCATTTTCTCTTTTTTTACCTGGTGATCCTGCCAGAAACACACCTTTTGTCCTAGGCTGGCAACGCTCACTAACCGTAATATAGAGAAGCAGCATTGTCATAATTGAACAGGGCTACAAACACCTCCCTCTCACCATAACGTAGAGGAGATAGATACTGTAGTCCTCAGAGACAGCTGGGAACAATGTAACATAAGAATAGAGCAAGAGTAAGAAAGCACAGGAAGTTATTAGCTCACAAGACTCCTGGCAGGATCAATAGGTATTTTTTTTAAATTATCTAACAAATATAACAAAACGATCCTAATGGGATATCTAAAAGGGACTAAAAAGGAGAAGTCCATTGTTAGAGTTTGCATACCCATTAATGTAGAGCTCAAGCCAAAACTTTTTTTTTTTTTAATTTTGGATAGATTAGTGGCGGCTTAAAAAACGTGCAAGAATTGCTGCCTGTGTCCACACCGAGAAGATTTCCACTCATTTGTCTTAATGACCACTGTCATCGGAAGACATGGTGAGGGGAAATTGAAAACTGTCACAAGTACAGGAACAGAGGGGAAATCTTCCTGTGACAACTTTCAGTAGTGGAATTTCCCACCATTGTGGGGAGATCTCTATTTACTTCCTGTTGTGCATCCGGAGGAAATTTACATATTAAAAAAAAAACAACAAAAAAAAAAAAACACAAAAACACACAACGGATAGAGACCTTAAGCCTTCTTAGCTACATTAAAAAAAAAAAAATTGGGCAGTTAAACTTGTACTGTAGTTGCCCTTTAAATATGCAAATAAAACCACTTACCTGGAACGGGACAACCTCAAAAGTGGCTTTCGGAAGCTGCAAGGGGTCTAAATTTGTGACACTGTCCTGTAAAGGAACAGAAGATTGTACAAAGAGTCAGCATGTGCAGTGCACCCAATCAATGACATACACAACCTGCAGGAAGTGGAGACACACACCGGGGTTTGAGCATCTTTTGCTGCTTGCTCTGTCAAGTACTCAAGCTTCTCTTCTAAGGCCTTTGTAGACTCTTCTATGGCATACGAGTCCTGCACGGCCTTTTCAACTTCACTCTAAAGAAGAAAATTAAAATGACTGAGATTACAGACTGATGCCTTGATATTAGCCTTACAGAAGGTAAAACAGAAACTTTTCCTTTGATTATTTTAATATATATATAAAAAATTTATTGGCAGGCTGCTTAATAGGAAAACCCAGCAGTAGCACTGCACTTTGACTACTCTTACAGACAAATGAGTCAGCTGGTGCAATATCTAAAGTAGGGTTTGTCAATTCTCTAACTCTGAATGAGGTGTATGTGTGTGTATTCTGATAGCCTGCTATAAAAGGTGCATTCAAGTCATCACAACATACATACAGTAGAAGTAAGTCCGCCTTGTAATTAGTGGACCTCAATACCTTGCTCTCACCATCAGCTGGATACAAGTGATAAAAATGAAATATTTAAAGTGGTACCCCTGCCAAATCACATTTTCAGCTCTGAATAGAGTGGGAAAGAGTAAGATAGGATATGATGATATATGCAAAAAAAGTAAATAAAACATTTTTTTTTTTATAGTGAGATGGAGAAGGGTTAAAGCATTTGCCAGCACTATGAAAGAAGTGAGGAAAAGTCTCTCCAAACAGAACAGAGCAAGAAAAAACCGGACAGAATTTGTTAACCCCCCCAAATACATACTTATAAATGTAAAAACTACAGAAAGAAGCAACGTCACTGCCCTGGTGATTTGACAGTACTCGGGCCTAGCAATTGGCTGCACCATTACACTGAAACAGGTCACATGCTCCCCCATACCAGAAGTGGGGGATATTTTTTCAAGGTAGAGGTAGACTGTGAGAATATTTCATTCTGCCTACAACAGACTGATGCTATCATTTCTGCCTAGGTAAAGCCGCTGACTGGAGCTCAAAATTCATCGATAAAACCTAAAGCTTCTTTTGAAAAATAAACATTTGCTCTACATTGTGACATGTCGGGAATTTATTCCTGCAGACTTTTGTAAAGTTACTGAAAATGTTTATAATTATACGTACTAATGAAAGATTTATATTTGGCCCCTTGTTTAACTTCTATTGCTCTTTCGCTGGCAGAGACACATTTCATTTTACACATGCATTTGTGCATTTTATTTCTTTTTACATAAAACGCACCTAAAACGCCCAAAACAATATATATTTTCCATAGAATAAAATGCCGGTAGTTGCAGTTTTTTCCGAATCTATTTTTCCAGTAAAAATGAAATTGAAATTAATTTTAGTGTGCAAAAACATAAAATAGGATTTCAAGATTTTCTGTTAAATGTAAAAGATGAGCTTGTGTCAGGTAAATAGCTTCCAAATATCTTAAGCCCCTGAAATAGCTTCAAACTATGTTTTTGAAGGTTCTCATTCATCCCGGTCATGGTAGACCTGTAAAAAAATAAGTCAAGGCAACTGGACTTGCTTTATTTTGCTGGACAACTGATTAGCTTTCTCAATTCAGAATTGAGCTTTTGATGACAGTGACAGTAACGGGATGAAAACAAACTTACAACCGCAATGGCAGCTGTAAGCATTTTCTACATATATGCCATGGTGCCCACACCTCGTCCTAGCTGCACCCACTGTCATGTTTCCTGGATCATCTGTATCCTGTGGTAGCCCAGAACCTCAACAAAAAAAACATGTCAGGATGGTGAGCTTCTGGAGATCTGTAATCTCCAATTCGCTGATCTCACGTGTAGTGTGAACCTGGAAAATCCCAACCACAGAGCCGGGTAAACAAGCAGGCTCGGCACTGGTTTCGCTTAGTCTACTTATGGAGAGTGCAGGGATGTTATTAGGAGCCCAATAGACATCTGATGTTTCCTTCTTTCTTTTTAAGCAGATAATTTTTATTGAATGTGTGTAAAAAAACAAAAAAACCAGGAACATTACAAAGAAAAAAGGAAGAACACATGACTCCAGCACATATTAGTAATAGAAAACAGTGAATCATACACTCTAATATTGTAAGTTAGTTGTATTTGATTGTTTACCCGATTAATCGAACTTAATAATCGGCTAACTAATCGATTTTGAAAATAATCGTTAGCTGCAGCTCTAGTGTGGTGCACTATGCGAGCACTAGGAGATGTACCAAACTGTGATTAATGAAAATTATACGTAAATCTCAAGAAGCACGGAAATATAACCACCGGGATCAAAATCAACAAAATGTTTTTGCTGCTGATCCCTCTATATTGACATGTAATACGTTCAAACTATGGTGGATGCACCGATACCGGTTTTTCAGGATCGAGTACCAATATTTTTTTTCAGTACTCGCTGATAGAGTACCGATGCCTTGTGCCCTGATTCTTAGGAAGTTGGGCAACGGATCGTGACCCATTGCCCGGCTTCCTAATTGCCTGTGAAGCTGGTGTTCTAGCGAAAGGACACCGGTTTCACTTGCCGAGGCTGCCTGACCAATCAGGAAGCCGGGTGGCAAGTCATGAAGTGCCATCTGGCATTCCCGATTGGTCAGGAAGCCAGGATGCTTGCAACAAGTGAAGCCGGCTTTCTAACCAACCAGGAAGCCGGGCGGCAAGTCATGACCCGTCTCCCTGTTTGGCTAAGAAGCCGTCTTCACTTGTTCCTAGGCAACCTAGCTTCCTGACCAATCAGGAAGCCAGGAGGTTGGTCATTACGTGCCACCTAGCTTCCTGATTGGGTTAGGAAGCCAGGATGCCTAGCAACAAGTGAAGCCGGCTTCCTAGCCAATCAGGAAACTGGGAGATGGGTCATAACCCACCGCCCGGCTTCCTGATTGGAAAGGAAGCCGGCTCCATGCTCCCTCAGCACTGCAGGTAAGAGGGAAAATTCCCTCCCACCGGAAGTTCCGGTATCGGAGGTAAGTATCGGAGCATTTGGGCGAGTACAAGTACTTGCCCCAAATACTCGGTATTGGCACCGATACTAGTATCAGTATCGGTGCATCCCTAGTTCAAACGCTACAATTTTGTCACGCTCAAACATCCAACTGGACAGCGTGGGAGGAGAAGTGGAGATCCATTTTCTTACTATTAATCTTCTGACAGTAAACAATGCTCTATGAATAGCTAAGATTGCATGAAAATCCAACAGAGGGGTGTCAAAAACACCCAAAACACATGTCAGAGGAGTATTATCAATAGACGTTCTAAATACAGAATTAAATCGTACAGAGTACTAAACTCCAATAACGAACCAATTTGGGGCATCTCCACATTAAATGTATCAAAGAACCTTGATAAAATCCACATTTTGCATAAGAAGGACCAGCTCTAAAACCTTCTTCAAACAAGAATTCTGCTGTTCGATAAATGCTGTGTAGGATAAAAAGTTTAGTGAGTCTATGGGTTTCCTCACACACTCCAAAGACATGCTTGTGGGGGTAATTGGCTCCTATCTAAATTGGCCATTGTAGGTATGCGTGTGAGATAGGGACTGATGTGAATGTGCACAATGTAAAGCACTGCATAAAATTATTGGCACTATATAAATACCTGTAATAAATACAAAAAACAGCACAGTATGACTTATGTGTTTGTATGCCTGGAAGCTAGAAGGCGGTTTCTAGAGAGCCTGTAGCCGGTCACTTTATATGTTTTCCTGGTGTCACTTACACACCTTTGATACCACTTGTGTGTTGCATGACCATTGGATAGGTTTGTATTTATATGTGCACGCACATGCGAAGGGGGGCTTTTATTTATTTAAAGTCTTTTTTATTTCTTTTAAACTTAAACAATTTAAAAAAAAAATGTTTTAAAAATAAACTTAATATTATTGCTATCACAAGACCTGTGTGTGACAGTATAGTGCAGGTGATAGATTCTGTTTAAAAGAAACATCAGAGGTCTATTAGACTCCTAATGTCACCCCTTCACTCTGCCCATGTAGACTGAGCAAAACTAGTGACGCCCCTGCTTGCTTACACAACTCTTTGGTTGGGATTTTCAGGTTTCAGGTCACGACTGCTTGTGACCTGAAACCTGACAACTGCCAAACATTACACACTGTCCCCCATCTCCAGAATGTGCAAAACAGCAACAAGTAACAGATCGCTGTTGTTTCCACCCCCCCTGTGACAGACCCCCGTACTCAGGATGAGTATGTCCGCCGCTGTCTTCTTCCTTGCTGAGGAGATATTGGAACCCGCTGATCTGTAGCTCCCAGTTTCCCCAGTCACTAGCCAAGGCTCGAGTGTAGGGAAAACAAACTCTGATTTATTGAGCAACTGCACAAACTTATATACAGCAAGTGATGAAATCAGAATATAATCCCATCACATCCCCCCTCCCCTCCCAGACCATCGGTCTGCTCAACACCACAGGTGTCCACCTGCTAACGA